AAAGGGGCAGCGGCCGCTACCGCAGCAGACGTCGCTGCGGAAGGAGAGGAAGAGGTTGCTCCGCCTGATGCTGAAGGTGTGGCTGCCATGGCAGAAAGAACCGGGAGGAGAACCGCGGTCGCGGACATCCGGAGACCGCCGTGGTTGTCGCAGCGCCACAGGTACTGCAGGAGCGCTTGGGCTAGGACCGCCTTCGTGCGGGCGTCGCCCACGGCCACGGAGTCGGCGTTCCCACGGGCGGGAAGGCCGACGGCCATCATGCCGGGCTTGTCGCTGGCAGAGTCTGCGTCGACCAAAGCGCCAATTTTTGTTGCTCAAGTCGTCGAGGGAAGCGGTTTCCAGCTGCCTCCCGTGCGGCAACACGCCCAGGCGGGTCAGGTCCATGACCCGCACGCTGCCCTCGCCGCCGCCCTTTGGTGCGGAGGTCGTAGAGGTGCTCGATGACCGTCTCGGGCCCGGGCTGGCGAAGGGCATCCGGCTGGAAGTGCACTACCGTCGCCGTGATGAGAAAGGAGAGAAGAAAGACAAGCGCACGAAGAGAGACACAAACAGGGGGAAGGACCTGATCCCAGCGGGACGGACGGTCGCGGGCGTGGCTCGAGCAGAGCGGGGGGGGCGGGCGGATGACGGAGCGTCTCTCTTTTCCTCTGTTTCCCTGTCTTGCACAGGTTTGATAACTGCTATTTTCCAGAGCCCTCGCAGGGGGCTCTCTGTCGACTATCATGCAAAAGGCATTTAGGAAAGACCCAAAGACGGCTTGGCGATACATGAGACTCATGGAAGTAGTAGCTCCAGGATCGGAGGGTACCGCTATGGTCGAAGGAGTTTGAGAGGACCAATAAAGGCAGCTAAATGAGTTCGGTTTGAGTGCGCAAAGCCGGTCGTTGGCAACGTTTAGCGACGGGCCTTTGCTGTAGGTGGTCTCATTTTTTTTTTTAATCTTGTCTTAGCCGTGGTCTCAATAGCTACACATTCATCTGTTTCAGATAGTGAAGTATGGGACGAGAAAACTCATCTCGATCGAGTAACTTTCCCAAGTAAGGGAGAAGTGGACACACCGACCGCGGGAGATGATGCCACTGTTTGCATCCCATACTATCTGAGGAGAAGAACTGACTCGAAAATACTGATGGATTCTCAAACCCGGAAATGAAGAAAGAGGCACGATTTCGAAAATTCTCCAGACGTAAAGAACCAAAACACGAGAGGAGGAAGAACACCCTCTCACTGCCTTCTATCATACCTGCGCAAGACAGGAAAACAGGGGAAAAGAGAGTCTCCTTTTATGATACCACCCGCCCGCCCAACGATTATTGAATATTTTCCCGAATTAAATTATTTTTTTATAATATTTTCAGTCAATTTTTCTCCGAAAAAACGCAATCGTCACGGATGGAGATAAATAAATATCGATGTCCTTCTTTGCAGAAAACATTGATTCCTCGCCATTTTGATTTATTTCCTTTCGCAACGCAGTGGCAACACCGACCTCTGCGGGAGGTGATGCCACTATTTGCATCCCATACTTTCTGAGGAGAAAACTGACTCGAAAATACTTATGGATTCCCTCTTGCCTAGCTTCGCTCTAATGCGTACAACTGCGTGTATTTGTTTTGCACCTCGTCTCTCCATGCGTCCGTACAAAATGTCCCAGGAGATCACTTCGTTCTTCCAGGTGTAACAGAATAACGTCTTGTGGTCGGAATGATACTGGGGTATCTTCGTTGCCAGAAGTCGACCGGCTCTCCGGGTGGTGTGCTTGTTTTCCAGCAGCACCCACGGGGTCGATCTTTTCCCGGTTTGTTTTCTTCGTCGTCTTGGACCGCCTAGGCAGGAATTTTTGAGTACTTAGAAAAAGAAGAGGGAGGGGGCACGCAGACTTCATCCCTAACCCTAAAGCACGGAGTGAATACTTCCACCCCATATGTTTGCTCAGTCAAGTTAGCCGCGTAGACTACCGTTCGTTTTGGGTAACAAATGGCGCTTCTTGGAGGACTTTTTTTCTGGGATCTTTTTTTTTTTTTCCTTCGTGTCATTGAAACATGTACCCTGTTTTGCGTGGGGTAGTTGTGACCACGGAAGGCCAGTGCAGATATTTAGAAGGTACTCAGCGGAGACCGGAATGGTTTTTAGTTTGAAGACAACAACTAGACCATATGAGTGCCGAATGATGGGAGACAGCATGAGCGTGGCGGTCGCTGGTGGTTTTGTGTGTGCGAGCTACTACCTGCAAACATACGTTATCCCAACCCTACAACCCGCTGCCGTTGCTGCGGTAGCGATTACATTAGCCAGCCTGACGCGGGTTTCCCTGGTGGTAACAGCGCAAAAATAATCACTCCCAAGTGGGCTCATAACGGCATCCATATGTAGTGCCGTCAGAGGGGTGATGCAACAGCAGGCAGCAGGACCAGCCCGCAGGTGACTTGACTGCCAACTGCCAGTTAGTTGTGAGGTTTCCCAAGCTTCAACAGCTCACACAGCTGGCGGATTTTTTGCTCGAACAGCCCAGCGAACGAACCTTTACGAACCAAAAAGAAGGTTTTACAAATCTGTACACAGCCTCCAATTGCACTTGCTTCGCTGCTTTTCGAGCGTGTTGTCTCTGGCATATGCAGCTGCTGGTTGTAAAAACGCCGCCCCCAATGCTGGCTTGAGACACCAACGCCTACCGCTGCGGACAATGCTGCGTCACTGCGGCACCCAGAAAAAAAGTGTCATGCATGTCAACTTCAAGCCAGCCTCTACCAACGCGAACAAAGGTTTCAACAAGAACGACCAAACGCCACTTGATTTCTCTCTTTTTTTTTTTGCGCGACCGCCGCTGCTGCTGTGATGATGCAGGTAAAGGGCATGGAGATCGAAGCCCGTTCGATGAAGGGCAACGAGCGGCGTCAGTGCCAGAGCAGAGCCAACCAGTGCCGGGCCGACTTGAAAGCTCTGCGCAGGAGCATAGACCAGGTGCGTGCGCTCAACTCCAACTCTATGAGCGGACAAAAGCATCGACTGTAGTACCGATTGACGCCCGCACTTGAGAAGTTGGCAGTCAAGAGCTTCATGCTCAGCGTTTTTTTCAACATATGAAACTTGAGCACCGTTTTTGCGAGCCCGACAAAGACCCCCGGCACTAAAGCCTGCATATCTAGCGGCCATTTGTAGCCCACAAGAGGAAACTAAAACCCACAGCCTCGACCACAAGTGGAGGCGCTTCTTGGAACAGCACTGCTGCTGCTGCTGCTGCTGCCTCTGCTGCTGCTGCTGCTGCTGTGGCAGGCTGCTCTGTTCGTTGTTTTTGTATTTCGCGGAGCTATCCTCCGCTTCGCCCGAATATTGTGTACACGTGCGTGCCCACTTCGATTTTTCCTTGTGTTGTCTTGGCAGGGGAACTTTTCGGAGAAAGTTATGCTTACCCGAAGTGTCTGAAATCCGGGCGTGTGCTGGTTTGCTACACCTCAAACGCCCTGCGGTCTGCAGAACAGCGGCGCGGTTCGGCGTTGACGGCGGGCTGGACATTTTATTGGTCCCTCTCAAGCAGGATACAATAGCGCGTTGGGGGTTTTCTCAAGGCCACCAGGAACCTCCCACCATTGACTCCTTTCTTTTCCTCTTTTATTTTTTTTCGTTTTGTCAGCAGGCAGGGCAGCGGGCCCAGGCAGAGGAGCTGATGCGTCGGAGTGGCGGCGGGGCAATCGGAGGGGAACCGAGGAGTTTCTCGGAAGGCGGTGGCGACCTAAGGGGGCTGGGCCCGGATCTTGCCCAGCAGAGTCTCGCCAGGCGAGTTTTGTTCATTTTTTTCTTTCGTACTTGCGTGTGTAAAGCAGTTAGGGCCGGCACCTTGTGAACACTATATTTTGTCCGAGGCTCTTAAACGCCACACAGCTCTTCGTTAATTCAGGACTGACCTCGACGAGGCAGCGATATGTTTTATCGTCCAAGCCACGCCGCATTTTGTCTCTCCGATGCACGTTACACACTTGAACCCGGACATTTCTCGACAACGAATCTGTCTGTGTCCTCCCACAATCCCATCCCATTTCGGGAGCCAATCGACGTATCGAAGACCAACCGGTTTAGTTTGACGCACAAGCCGCGGTCACACAGCACGGAAGGCCGACTTTTTTCTCCTCTTGTCTGATTAGAGTAACCAAGGTACATAGGTAGTGGAACCCTTGAGTACCGCTTTTTGGGCTGTTTTCGGGGTGAGGCGTGGCACCTTTCTCTGGGCGCACGTTCAACAAGAGAGCGCGCTACAGGAGGATNAAGCGCGAAGCGCCGTGAGATATTCGGCGAGTCGCATGAAGGGTGCGCTGCATCCTGCTAAGGGTGTTCGGCATCTTGTGCTTACTTCCTTGCGTACGGATGACAGCTGCTTTCACTTCCTGAGACAGTTGTAAGCACTGTGTAACTGCCTCGAGGGTGCTCGACCATTTTAACACAATGTGATGCGATCATCCCCCTTGCGCGCAGAGGGGATCTCCACCCCGCACAACATGATCTACTCGGCCACCATTATAATTACCGCCCCAAACAAAAAACAGAGGAAAAAAAAACGGTAACCTGGTTGCCGAGTTCACAAAGTGAATTGGCTTGTTTTACAACGTCGTTGCCAAGCGACGAACCCCCAACCCCGATGGCAAATCCGGGGGGAGGGATGGAGAGAAAGAAAAAAAAATAAGTTCTGTACTCAAGAGTATTTTGTATTTTGATTCTGCCTTCCTCCTGTGGGACGCCGGCTTGTGCGCAAAAACATGCACCGAAGAACGAAGAATCACGACCAGAATGACAACGCAGGGGACAAACAGAAACGGACACACACGTTCGACCGTTTATGAGCTGTGCCTGCTACGAAGACTCATCCATGCGTTGTACGGTGACATGATGCGTCAAGATCGTGTTGTAATAATAGGATTGAAACGTTGCTACCTGTAGTCAATGATCGAGGATGTCGAAGTCGAGTGCAACACGACAGCACCCCCTCCCCATCCAACCCCAAACCCCGCATGGACCCGCGCCCCGACCCCAAATCCTGATCATAAGGAGAAGAACCGCCCCGGTCGCCCCCCCCGGTGTTTGCCATCGGGATTGGGTTTTCGTCGCTTGGCAA